CCAACTGGTCTTCCAGTGTCAGCCGTGAGTCCAGGAGGACCCCCAGATTGCGTACCCTCTCCGAGGGAGCCAAAATTTCGCCCCCTATAGTCAGCGACGTAATTGACCCCTTAATTGAAATCATAAAGCGGATCATCATGTGACTGACCAATTTTGTGGCCTTTTTTGTGGTGGTTGTTAAGGAACATCCAGGTCATTAAGAGAACCGTTCTCTATGGTGCATTTTTTCCCCCAGAAACCAGAAGTAAGTGGCAATTTCTGGAAGAAATATAAATCGTGGATATGTGCTGCAAAAGGCTGCAAATGTGGGCTGGTTACCAAAATGCTGTCACATTACCGCAAGGGGAAGGTGGATGCTGGAACTTCGAATGGAATTAATTGTAAGTCCATTTTGGAGTGTCTGTTGTATCTTCAAATGGTTATCAACTGACTGATTTTAAGTTGAGGACCACCTAGTTGTTAAAGCTGATAAGTGCTGTTTTACCAAGTGTATCATTTACTAGAGTAGGATAAATTTTCATCAGAATGAAAAATGAAAAAAATAAAACTTTTAAACCTAGGGTAATATGTCTATTCTTATGGTATACACAGTTTTTATTTGGATATGATATGCTACTGGTAAACTTGGAGTTTGACTTTATTTCTAGTTGAGGGAAATCACTGAATTCTTTTAGAATTTCATAAGAATAAAAATTAGGAACTGGGACCTACTTGTAGCCTTAGATGCATCAGAAGGGAAGAAATTCTGGACCTATTAGTAAAAAGAAGAAAAGAAAAGAAAAATCATGACATTAATAATAGTGTGTTAGCATTAAAATGTTAAAACTGATCTCTACCCTGCCTGTTAATTTATGGTTCTGTCTCTCTTCTTTCCTGTCCCTCTTTTCCTATTCCATATCCTGGTTTTTATTGCTACAAGCAAATAGCAGTTACTATGCAATTGTTAAGAGAACTGCAGACATTCTGTCCAAGTGTGATCTTTATAATCTAGAAAAAAAGCTAAATAATCCATGTGACAGTACTGAATAGTCGGCTTCAATTTTATATCCTTGATAATATGGTTTCATGATACTTGGAACAAATCCTTATTTGCAATAGGTTTTAGTTTATTTATTTAGCAAAATAATATAGCCACTATCTCATAAAAGGTGTTTCTGAGTGGCATACAAGAGTTAAATAAAAAATAATAATGTTTTAAAACAGGATTGTTAAAAATACAAACCACCAGGCACAGGAGAGATTATATATTAACAACGATGAAGCCATTTTACAATGTCACTTGTCCAGATGCCAAAATGTTGTTTATCAATATTTCCGTAAGCTTATTGCTTGGGTTCACAGAGCACCCTGTGCTTGCCAAAAGTTTATTTAATGAAGGATTACTATTTTTTTTTAAAAAAACCATGTCAAACCAATTTGTTATTTGGTACAGTGCTTTGATCTCGGATTCATTATAGCTTACAATGCTTTTCTTACTCTTTTAAAAATAGCATCCCAAATATATTTATAGAAATATTGGCATGGTCTACTCATAAAAATAAACTCAAGGTTAAGTTTGGCATTCTGTGTCATAAGCAACCAAGCAGATGTGTTTAGAAAATATACAAACATGGACAGAAAGGTAGCAATCCTGTTCCTAATAGCAAGTATCACTCTTGCTCTCAGAATCTCCAATATCCAAACCCCGCTCACAATACGGTAACAGCTGAGTCTTATTTCTGCAAAGAGATAATATTGTTCTTCTGGCAAAGAGATATTGCTGATATCTCTGTCATCAAGAAATTAGGAGGGTAGGTAGCAGACTGCCAGTACCATGTCCCTCAGCATCTGTTTCTTAATTTACTTTGCGTAACAATAAGGCCCAACTTGTAATTTTCCACTCCCTTTTCTTTTAAATGTGTCTTTCACTTGCTGTCTGCCACCTGCTTTGAGCTTTTCCTCTGCAGTTGGGTTTATGTGGCATTATAATAGTAGTTTTAACCATTTAGTCATGTCAGACTCTTGGCAACTTCATAGGCAAGTGCTCTCCATGCTACACTGTCAAGCACAGCTTCTTCCAGTTGTTGGATGTTCAGCTTTGTATCAGCTTTGATGTTATCAAGCCAACATGTTCTTTGCTTGCCCCTTCTTCTTGATCCACTCACCATTTGTAGCATCATTGACTTCTCCAATGAATTTGCATGCGTGCCATGGCCAAAGTAAATCAAATGTAGCCTTGTGATTTTGGCTTCTAATGATGTTTCTAGTTTTATATGATTCAGCAGTTTTCTGATGGTTACTCTGGCTATCCATGGTATATGTGACATTATACTAAGTCATAATATCCTATGTTTGGTTTTGGATGAGCATATTCTGTGAATTCAGCCACTTTGCTTTCTAAACCATGGTTTATCATTAATGTGTATGAATGCTAATTCAACAAACCATTGTTAAATTAAAATCTGACTTTTATGTGAATTAGTATTATGTTCCATTTTTTATTCATTTTGACTTTTGGGCTTTGAGACTTCAGGTTGCCTAACACAACCATGCCCTCATAGTTTCTATTTAATATCTATCCTTCATCAGTCTTAATCAGGGCAAATCTGTTCATCTATTGCAGCCTTGCTTATAAATAAGGTGACATTTTATTATGAATTTTGAACTCATATTTTTGAATTTATATTCTGAGTTATTAGTAAATTGTGACATGACCTAGCTTTGCATTCTATATAAATACATACCGTTTTGCTGAGCTACTGAAGAGATAAAAACTTGTGTATCTTTTTTCTACAAATCTCAAATGAACACCCAGAAAAATAAAGCAACAATTAACAAAAAACTCTTCCAAGTAAGAGGTCAGAGTCATGGCTCTCTGTCTTCATGATTGCCTTATGAGATGTGTTAAATAGGTAGAAGTAGAATGGAGTCACATATTTTACACCATGTCTTTCTGAGTAAGCCACAGTTGGTTGACTTGTGAATAGTGCTAAACCATAAACCAAACACAGTGAACCATAATCATTGGAGTCACAAAATATGCTAAGCCACACTAAACAAACCACAATGCAATTTGTAAATTCAACAGTTTAATTTCATGCCAGATTATTTTCAAATATAATCTGACACTTTGGCAAGTACACAGCACTGGCCCTCATGCCTGTGAACAAGAGTTTTAAAAAGACAAGAAAAGCCCAACAATTCAGCAACAACAACAGATGACCGTGACTATGAACCAAATCCTAAAATGAAGGAAAGTTAAGCTAAAAGCTCCAAAATGTGTAACTTTTCCTCATAGAGATTAATAGTCACATTTGACAATCAGCCAGGGAAATCCACTGATACGTGACTTACTTCACATTTTCCACTAAAGTTAAACCATAATGGGATGTGTGAATTCAGCCATATAATGTTATTGGCCCAAGGCATAAAGGTATGATCCAAATGTACTTTAAATGAAAGTTTTGCCACAGTCATGAGATTTCACAACAGGGGGCAGGAAAAGTATATCTAAGAAAATCATGTGAGTTCTACTTTACCTCAAGTACTCTGTAGGCAAACTTTTTCATGATAGTATTTAAATATTTGTTTACTTCATTATTTAACCTGAGAGTCTACAAAAAAGTATTTGAAAAGCCTGACAAATTATTTTAAAAAGTTATTAAGATTTAATTGAAAGAATCTGAACCAAACAACCACCAATAGTATTTGTATATTGTATAATAGTTTGTAGTAGAACAAAGCAAAGAAAACTTTATTACCGAACAAACTGTGATAATATACATACTTTATGTACTTTGTTAGCTCAATAAAGAAGTTAATATAATAAGTCAATATCAAGTTCTGTGTATTCAAAGTACACTGAATAGCTCTGTAAATAAAGAAATGGAGAAATATAATACCTATTACAGGACAATGCATCTTTGCTGAAAACCATAATGCCTGTGCCAAAAGCTCCTGTCATGTTTTTGCTTCATTATTTGAATTTATTCCTGAACCAAATAACATGTTATTGTAAAATAAATGATCAGCATGACTTAACGTATATCAAACTTGGTTATTATGCTGCTAAAATACTTCTTGTAGAGTAATGGTCCCTGACCCTAGGTCTGTGGACTGATAACGTTCTCTATGGACTGTTGGGAACTGGGCCATGCAAGGGATGAGCGAGCGTGCGAAGCTCCATTTGCACAAGCAGTGGGGGGCATGCGCAACCATCCCCTCCCCCCCCCCCCGCTGCTTCATGGAGCCAGAAAGGTTGGGAACTGCTGTTCTAGAGGAGAAGTAATAAGGAATGGATGCAATCTTGGGGGGGGGGGGGGAGAATCAGTTTTACTAGGCTGCTATTATCTGAGTTATAAAAATCCTAATGGAGCTAAGGAAATCATGTAACATGAGTTGCTGCCATCTAATGGTTGCCAGAATGTTTGCAACCCAGATATGACAGCTTTAGTTCACACAATGATAAAACTAAATAACTTAGATCTTGGGAGTCCTACCTAATCCACTGATTTCTATGCATTTTTAAGTAAAATAACATTTTCATTCTTCTGAAGTTTTTAAAAGCTTGTTCTGTATCCTAAGATGTGTGTTTTGTACATTTTTTAAAATGAATAATTATGAACATTATAAAAACTTATCAATAAATCATATAAAATACTATTTGGAATATATACACTAATAAACATTAAAATACACCTTAAACTTCCAATTAAGGTTAATTGGGAAGGACAACCACTCAAGCTTCCCACAACACACAAAGTATCTCCCAATGGTTAGGGACTATGTTGGAGTGGGATTATAATGGCAGGTTTTATATTCTAGTCATCCAGTCGTCATGGCTTTAGCATGTAAAATGCTAAAATTTTTAAGTTTTTCAAAACCAATAGCATTTGGTGACTCAAATAAATCTGAATGGAGTAAACCAAAGTTAAAGTCCTAGGCTGGGTTTATTGATTGCACTAAGTCCTTGTTAGGATTTGGTTTAATGCATTGTTTGAATCAAGCCATTGAAGTTTTTAACCCATGATGTATGGCTTTGTGTGTTATGTGAACCCAACTAACTGTGGCTTATTTCAACATAGAAAAATAAAACATAGCTTATTGCAATAGGTCAGGGGTGTCAAACTGCCGGCCCACAGGCCGGATGCGTCATGCCAAAACCGCGCCCATCCCATTGCCGGCAATGGGAAAAAAGTCTCGATATGTTGCAACACATCACGTGATGTAGCGAGTTTGACACCCGTGCAATAGGTGAACAAGTCCTAAGTTTTTAATATCTGTCATAAAGTTTACATAAGAAACAGGATCTTAAAAAATAATTGAAAAAGTAATATCACATTTACATTGCAATCTTATGTGCATTTATATATTTTGCAATAAATTGTTAACTATGAAGTTAAAACTCTATGCAGTTAATACTGTACGACTTAGTATGTGCTTTTTATTTTTATTCAAATAAAGATTAATGAACAGCAAATTCCATATTAAAGTATTAAGAATAATTTGGAAGATCTAAAACTCTAGACAAAAAAGAATGACTTGGTTCTGAAAAAGTATCCAACTTGATGCCAAGCAAAATTCCCTAGATAGAATATATCAACCTTTGGTATCTATCCCAAAGCCTTTTCTTTAGTTATCCTCCATCTCATCTTCAGGAGACTGGGTAGGGAAGAGAATCTAAACAGTAATCACCAGAGAAAATCTTGAAGTCTATGCCTACTATCATGCTTGTTTCAACACAAAAACATTTAATCATGTATAATTATTTTG